CCCCCCCCTTTTCCACCCATCTCTTTTGTTAATATGTCTATTTGCATGTGCATAAAGTGTGTATATGTGCTCGTGTGAAATATGCTTAAATGCTATGGAGATGCAGATGGGATTTGAAACAATGAGGTTGCTGCTTCCCGGCTGAGCTGCTGCTTGGTTTTTTGTGGGTTTTTTTTTTTTTTATTCATTCATTCATTTATTTCGAGCAACCGTACCGTGACTGCATTTTTCAGCTGGATCCCTCGGAAGGATTTGCTGGGTTGCGATAACGGAGAGGGCTTACGGCGGGCTGTGGGCTTACAAAGAGGAGGGGGGATGGGATGAATCCATCAAGATTTGTACTATTGCAAATGTGATTGCTGTGGATGCCTTTGTAGTAGGGAAAGGGTGTGTGCCGGAAGAGTTAGTTGTCGTGCCGCCTCCCCCACCTCCCATCGGCACGGGCTGCAGTCGGTAGCAACGGTTTTGAGGGAAAGGAGTGAAAAATCGCCTTTTAAAGCTAAAATAAATGTAGTCTTCAATATTTCAGCCCGATGGTATTAGAGGTCAGATGGACGGGGAGCGTTAGAAAGTGCCCACTGCTTGGCCATGGCACTTGCTCAGTGCTATGACATCATCCTAGACCAACCCTGAAATTACACCAGCGAGCCCTCCCCTTCTTGTTTCACCCTGCCTGAACGGTGGGTTTTTTCCTTCTGTACCACCATTTCTTCAGCCTCTGAATCGCTTCCCAATTCTACATGCACAAGACAGAGCGTGTGCGTGTGTGTGACCGCAGCTAAAGGTTGTGAGTGGAGGGAAAAGGCAGCAGCAGCACCAGCAGCCAAAATTTTTCTGTGTGGCGGTTGCTGGTGCTGCTGCTGCTGTTAAAATCAAAAATGATGCTGTGGCATTCAGACTTCTGGCCAGATGCTTCGTGGGCTGAGATTTGAGGGGAGCATCCGAGTTCCATCTTTTGCAGGTATACTTCTGGGTAGCCGTACCCTGAGTGCTCCCCAGGCCAGTGTCCCCTGGTCCCCCTTCCCTCCTTCCTCCCCTCCAATTTAAAGAGTGACCTAGAAATGTGTTCATTAGAGGACTTCATGCAGCACACCTGACACAGTCAGGATCTCTGGTCTCCTGGAGACCCTCTGCCTTGTGATTTTTTTCGTGTGTGTGTGTGCGTGCACCCAGTATAGTGCCAACACTACTGCCTGCACTTGAGCAAATAAAAGTAGGATCCAGTTAGGTTGGCTGGAGGGAAGAAATGATGAATGGCTGGAGTATCATATTCCAATCATATATACAATTTGATTGATAAATAGATACGTGTGTTGAATATGTTCATATTCTCTTACTCCCTGTGGAAAGCTGCTGCACCTTCTGTCCTGCCTTCAGCAGCAGAGTCCATAACTCCTGTCTTCCTTGAATATGTCATCCCAGGGCTGATCGGGTGGCTTGAAGGTATTGCATGGCAAGGCTGCCTTGGGAGCTGATGAAAGATGTTGGTATGAAGGTGTAGACTCTGAGGTCTTCCCAGGCCTCTAAGCTCTGGGGAAGACAGCTGATGTCCCAAGGTCACTCCTAAGTCCCGGGGCAGCCTCCTGTGGGGCTGGGACTGTGCCTACCGTAATTCCTTAGACACTTGGTTTTGCTAAATCTCTCTGCTTCAGTGACCAAATGATGATAAAGATAGAATTAATACTAGGTGGTAGGCTTTTTGGACAACTTTTTTTTGTTTTTCTGTGGAACATGCTCTGATCCAGAGCGTGTGTGAGCTCGTGCTGAGAGGGTTTAGGGTATGTTCTTAGGGTGAGCAGTACATGCACAGCACAGTGTCTTTTGGGGGAGAAGGAAGTCCCACCAGTTAGCTCACTATGTTAGCCAGCAGCCCTTTGGAAAAGCACGTGGTAATATGTGTCATGGAAAAGCTTTGTTGTCCCCATCATATGCACAGGTTTCCCCTTCCCAGTGTACAGGGAAGTTCCCAAAGCACCACCTTGGTACTACAGGAGGTGTTACTGTGTCCTTAGGTTCTGAGGTTATGTGGTGGGGGAGAAGTTTCCTTGTGTCTACAACAGAAATACTTTATTTCATTTCCGATAACCTTGTGATGGGTTTTCCTTTTAACAATCTCTCATTTCCACCTGTTCATGTTCCAAAATGGAGATCTAGAAGAAAAAATGCTAAGTTGAAACCCATCGCACAGAACATGAAGAACGCGAGCGTACGTGCTTGGGTTTGAAGTGCCGGCGTGGCTGTCGGCACATTTTTTTATCTCCGTGCATTCGATCACCGCTCGGTGGCAGGATGATGTCAGTGGGTAGTGGCGCTGAACGCTGCTGCTCTTCTGGTCAAGGGAAAACTTCTCTCATGCCTCTCCTGCTTAAATACCTGTGAGGAGAGCAAGGTCAGCCACGTAACTGATATGGGGACAACGACCTATACATGTCTGAAATAGGCAGTGTGAAAACAGAAATTCAGACTTTATTCATCTCTGTGTTAATTTACTCTTTCAGTGGTATCTTAAAAGAACAAATCCTGTGTGAATGGGTGCTCAAGACCCCACAGTGTTAAAAAATAAGCAAACCAACACGCTTTGAAGGCTCCCTCCATCGCTGCTGCTGGCCATCAGGTGGTTTCTTAGCAGCTGGGCACAGAAGGGTTATGCAGTTGAGAGCATCAGGTGGCCTGTATTGCAGAGAATCAGAAAAAGGGAGGTCTGACCCTAAATTCAATAATACGGGGTGTTATTTGGGTGTTAAAACTTCTCCTTGTGGGATTTGCTGAACACCATCCCTCCCAAGATGAGAGGAGGGCAGCGTTGGAGAGGAAAAGCACTGACTTTAGGGGCTGGGGGCTGTGCGTGTTGCTTGACAGCTGTTCCTGCTGGTGGAGTCCACGGTCTTGGGCCCTCAAGTCCTTGTTATTCACCCTTACATCAGGATATTGCAGGTATTTCCTAAAGGATGCTTGCAACTTGGCAGTTGGATCTCTTTCCAAAAACCAGCTCAAGTAGTTTGAGCGAGTGTAGGGGTTACGGACAGGAGAACTACGTTAGACAGCTCTACGCTTCAGATGTCCCAGTGGTTTTAAGTGTGATTCCCCTGCCCTGTTGCTCTGCAAAAGCTTTACATGAACAAGAAGGAAACTGGACAGACTTCCAGATAAAATAGTGAAGCGGGCTACCCACAAAGAAACAGGTTGTGAATATAACTTTCTAGTCTTTCAGTGATACTTTGGTATTACTCAGGTTAAAAAAAATATAGCGAAAAAATGAGCAAATGTGGTTAAGAAAGCTGAAGGAGCTTACCTTTTGTCATAATTCAAGCAACAATTTTAACAGTCGCTCTTTCCTGGAGCGTTTTTCTTTTTGCTCATTGTGTAGACCAACACCACACACACACACTTTTTTTTTTTTTTTTTTTCCTTCATGACACTTGTGGCAGCAGGAACCATCACTCGCTTGGAACAGTGGTGGAAAATACTCGGCATATTTCTGCTGTTGCAGTGAAAGGTACTATCTGAAATGGAGATCAAGTACCTACTACATCTCCATATTATTTTGCAGACTGCCAGTGATCTGTCAGTTAAAAGTTACAACTAGAACTCTAAGCCTTGAAGCTCAGAAAGCTGTGTTTGAAAAGAAGGGTAGAGGTTCTGCATGTTGATAAGACACACCTATGAACATTTTCAAGTGAAAGGTGTGTTCTAATGTGCAGAAATGCCTTGATCTGCATTTCTGGATGTCTTTCATGCTTGACCCTTAACTCCCACCGCCTCATGCATTTCCTCCGTAGCTGCTTTCACAGTTTTCAAATTAAATGATCTAATAGTTTATATTTCATAGAACGATCAGACAGTGTGGACTCTATCGAAGGTGTTGGCATTCTCTTTAAAATCCAAATGCCAGCAAAAGAATTATGTGATCTCATCCTGGGTCTGCAAAGCCAAATGTCTGGGTATGTGTGAGCGGGCGTCTCTGGTTGTGGCCATCAAAATGACACCAGGGCAGGCTGACTCCAAAACCAGGTACATTTACACAATGGCTGTTCTCCTGCACCCTCCTCTGCTGGGGCAGTGACGTTTTATTCCAGATGGTTGAGTTTCTCCTAATGGAGACTTATCTGGCTGCTGCCTTTGTGGGTCTTTGCTCTAAAAATACTTAACTTGTTCTTTCTCATATCAAAGTTCTTCTCTTGCTGTGAAAGGCTGCTGGTAGTGTCTTGCTCAGTACTCTGCCTCCTCCAGCAAAGAGTGGCTCAGTATTTCGTTTGGTTATCGAGAGGTGAGAATAACTGTCCTTTAACCAAGACAGCAAACACTGTCCTCCTAAACAAGGTAGAAATGGGAACTCTAAAGAGCTGCTGGATTGGAGAATTTGTGAGCCCAACTTCCTTACGTAAAGCAAAAATCTTGGAGGGGTGAAAGGGAGAAAGTTTGGATTTTTATGGCAAGTCCACCTGCCTGTGGGAGTAAGTTGGAAAAAGCATCTCTCTTCTCAGTTCTGTGTGTTCCAAAGATACAGAGAGAGAAGAAACTGAGAAAATGCCATAGTTTAACAAAAGCTGTTCTGCTTTATACAGGCTTTTTGGTTCTGCTAATGACCTGATTGATTATTGCATGCTGCAGATAGAGCTTCAGAAAACTGCAGTTTTCTGCTTTAAAGGATCCTGCCATTTTCTGGTTATGTGGAGAACTAATTTTGCAATGACCAATTCAGTTGTCATCTTTTTTCCTATCGTAATCTATGGGATTATGTTTGTGAAATGCTTTGTAAAGTTCCAAGTGCCTTTGTCTAAAAACACCAGAGAGGTGATTACTGGAACTTCCACAAATTCTTTTTTAAAAATGGTGGCTTAAGCTGTACATTCATTGGGGGCTTCATTTTTAAAACCATAATCCTTCATTCATTCATGTGTGGACATGCTTAGTCTGAAGTACTTCTCTGGTACTGAACTGGTCCTATTCAGTAACTAATATTAATTTCTTCCGATTTCATCCATGCTCTGAAATCACCATTCAGAGACTTTGTCTTCAGAGATGGAGTTCTGAAGAGTCTTGGTCTCGATTAGAGATGATGGTGATAGCTTAGGTCTTTAGCGTGAGCATGCAGACGTTAAATCTACAAGATGTCTACCAAGTCTACCATGCTTCTTCTCTCGTCTTGAGGAACAAAATTCTTCTTTTGTTTTCCTCTGACTTCTTAATGGCTCATCTTCTTCTCTGACTGGAAGACTTATCTAGTGTTGTAATAGTCATTTCATCCTATTGGGGGGGGAATATCCCAGACCAAATGTGAAATCTTTCAAAGATGGAATTCTTGTTCTGGTAGAGGCAAGCTGAGCAAAACTCAAAATGGGATGCAGAGGAGCAGCAAAAAATAAGGATAAAGGTTTAATGATTTTTGCTGTAAATAAACCAAGATATTAGACCAAAGAGGAGACTGGCAAAGTTGCTGGTGGATTCTTAGATCCATTTTTTTCTTATGCTCTTGCTGTTTGCTTTGTTCTGCCAACTTCTTGGAACAGAGTGTGCCATGAAGAACATCCCACCGTTCACAAAAAGGCTGGGCCTCAAAAATAGCACATCCAGGAAGATCTTGTACTGCTGCGTGGTAGTTACCGCATCTCCATGCCTCTGCAAGTCCCTGACCAAGTCTGTTCTCTGCAAGTCGTATGTCATTTAGCATAGTAAATGGCATATGTGAAATGTTGGGGTTTTGCTTGTCTTACTTGACATCTGTGTCTTAAAACTAACTTGGATGCCTTCTCAGAGAAACTTTCATTACCTGGGAGTAATTACCTGTCAGAGGTCTTACTCTTGCTGAACTTGACTGAAATGTGCGAGTTCCTACAAGCGCTTACCAACTTCTGGAAAGTATAGCTGTCACTGTTAGGCTTTAAACAAAACAAAAAACCCACCAGGCTCTTTGAACTGTAGCAATACACAGAGCTAAGACTGCGTTTGTGTTTCTGTAGTCATTTCTACAGTCTCACACATGCCTGGTCCGTGGCTTGGGTCTGTTTCCTTATCTGGTCTCAAGCATTTGAAGACTCCTATGTTATGCCGATTGCTGAGGTGTAAGTATATATTTTTGTCTAGTCAACTTCAAAATAACCTCCCAAAATACTTTGTACAAGGAGGATGTGATTTATGCATCATCACTTGCCTTGTAGCTGATGTTTGACTTCACTAATGTGGTGAACCCGCCATCGTCGCTTCCTGGTAATGGAGTCTGACGCAGCGCTGCAGTCTGTCTAGTTCTTTGTTTTCTTTGCAATTAGATGTTTTGTTTTCTCTCTGGGGTTGTCTTTGGAAGGGATGGAGGAGAAACAGAGGCTGTCCACTTCAGTAGCTTCATCCTTTCATGTCTTGTTTCTATTCTGGGACTCTGGCTATAATTTCCTTGGTTAGTAACTGTTTACTGTAAATTGTCATTAATCTATTTCAAGGTGAAGGCTTTGGAAGGCTCTTCCTAACCTCCTCTTCACAGCCCTCCCAAGTGTTGGTAGTCATTTGAGCTGAGACAGGTGGCAGCATGCTGTCTGCCTTGGGTGACACATCAGTTGTGTTGTTAAACTTGTTGATTTTGGAGCTGTGACTTGATCGCTGCTTCCCGTCAGCTACTAGCCCTGAAGCACAGGGCTGCCAGCAAGTGGGCCTGGTTTGCTGCTTGGTAAAGCAGCTGCTCTTCTTCTGTTGATCTGGAACCTTCTCAGGTCTGTAGGTGCATCCCATCCTACATCTGAACTTACGTTGAAGATCTCTGCAAAATAGCCTTCAAATGGCAGCAGTATTGTAGTCGGTGCCAGTTCTTTCTTTTGACTGCTGTGGAGAAATTCATCAGGAAAGCTGGGCTCTTGCAGACTGCAGGAAGGGCTGTTGGTTCGTAAAACGTCAGTGGTCCCCTTCAACAGGCTGAGCTCTTTGCTTCATACTTGTGAAGTGTGAAAGGGAGAGGTCCCCTTGTACAGAATCAGGGACCGCAGCTCTACACATGTACGAAGCGCTCCAGCTTTTGGCTCCCAGGGGTATCATAAAATATCAGCAGAAGTTGATACGTAAAGTTCCTGAGACTCTATAAAAAAAAAAAAAATCAGTCTTGGACACTTTTCTCTTTCGAAATGGAAGCATTACCGTTTGCATTTCCTTCTGAAAATTTTGGCATGCCTTACTAGAGTTTTTTCCTCCTTTCTCATGGATGCACTTAGTCATGGAAATGAATGTAGAACTTGTGAGTTTGTTTCAGCTGAGCAGGGTTTAAAATCTGCTTAGACCATCTGATCAGTCTTGTTAAGAGCACACAGTTCCAGAACAGTGTTGCCTTGTTAGAAAACTTTCAGTTCCGGTAGGGAACGAGCTCAGTCTGCCATCCCCTTGAATTTTAAGAAGAAATTTTGAAGGAGGCTACACATTGCAGAAAATAGGTATTGAGGAACTGAAGTGGAACTGTGGTGACTTGGGGGAGGATGGAAAGGATGGGTGGGTTGGGGGCTTTCTTAAAATGGATGCCATATTGTGAGTCCATGTCACCCTCACGGTTTGAGTCCTGTGTCTGAAGAAGGCTGTCCACCAGCCACCTTTGTTTCCAGAAGTAACCTGCTGTCTCCTTTATTCGTAACATGACGTTTTTCTGCCATGTCACTGAAAATGCACGTAGAATTCTCATTAAATATGGGGGGGGGGGGGGGGGGGGGGGGAGAAATCTTATGGCCTGGTTCGTGATATTAAGTAATAGCACTCTGAGACCTGGAACAGCATTCCCTGAAAGTTAATTTCTCAGAGTACAGCAAAGCAGGGCCTGGTTTACAGGTGAGCAGCTAATATGGAAACAGGTTGTCTGTGAAGAAGGCCATGTAGCACTTGTCCCCTTCTCCTGACATCAGGTTACAAGACAGATCCATGAGCATGAGCAGGAGAACGAGTTGCGGGAACAGATGTCAGGATATAAGCGGATGCGGCGCCAGCACCAGAAGCAGCTGATCGCCCTGGAAAACAAGTTGAAGGCCGAGATGGACGAGCACCGCCTCAAGCTGCAGAAGGAGGTGGAGACACATGCCAACAACTCGTCCATTGAGCTGGAGAAGCTGGCCAAGAAGCAAGTGGCTGTGATGGAGAAAGAGGTGAGTAGAGTCATGAGCTCCCTAGCTGTACGAGGAGACTGGACGGAGAGGTGCGCACCAGATCTCTAGGAGAAGGCTGTGGACGCACTGCTTAAAACCCATGTTCTTATGTGTACTGTATGGTAACTGTCTGGAGCTGCCCTGTCCAGTTTTGTGAACTAGCTTCACAGCTACAAGGCAGTCTTCTGGGACTTTGAGCAACCTGGTCTAGTGGGAGATGTCCCTGCCTATAGCAGAGGGGTTAGACCTCGATGATCTTCAAGGTCGCTTCCAACCCAAACTATTCTATGATTTGCACTCCATTGGTGTTGACCAGTACTGTCGCTACTGGCAGCCAGCTGAAAGAGACAGACAAACTCTGTGGAGGCCTTCTACATCATGGCTGAGGCAGTGACAAAGCTTGCTGCTGTCACTCAGTCTGTTTAAAAATCAATGTCTTAATCCATACAGTAAACTAGTGGGATTTTTACCCTCTGGGGTGGTGTTGGTGGAGCCGTAAGAAACATGAGGAAGCTTTTTAATGTATGTGGGCATTTGGGGTTTTTGTGCAAGCAGCTTTCGTGTGACTGAATACTCGTGGCTTTGTCTAGCACAGTGATGGGAGAATGACAGACCAAAAAACACGTAACAGAAGGCTGATTTGTGCTGGATTGGGTACCTGCTCCCTCACCCTTTGGTTGGTTTTTTTCTTTTCTTTTTTTTCTCCCTCTCTGTGCCTTGCAGGCAAAGGCAGCTGCAGCAGATGAAAAGAAATTCCAGCAACAGATTTTGGCTCAACAAAAGAAAGACCTGGCGACCTTTTTAGAAAGTCAGAAGAAACAATACAAGCTTTGCAAGGAAAAGATTAAAGAGGCGAGAAACCATCATTTTCAGGGCTGAAGGGGTGTGAAATGAACACGAACTAGACTTTCGTTTTGATAGACCTGGGCCAGCCCAGGGGTTTAAGGGATACTGTCATGCTTGGAAGCAAATTTAGATTCTCAGCAAGTGAACTTTCAGGAACAGGGAGCATCTGTCAGCATTTCTAGAATAATCTCTAAGGGTGCCAGAGGTGCCTTCACAATTTGCTGTAGAGCAGAATCTTTGAAACCAATGGTGATGAGGGAAAATGGGACTTCACAGAGAATTCTTCTTCCCCTTTTTCCTCATCTAGCTTTTTTTGCTAAAGCTGTAAGTAATCAGAGTGACCACTTAGGTGTCACTTGGCTAAAAGCCCTGTGATCGCGTATATGAATTAGAACAAGTAGTAACTTAGTATATAGCTTATCTATCCCAAATTGCGTCACTTAAGTACAGCTTCCCCACCGCATCACAAAATCATTTGCTGTTAAGAATGTGGTGGTGAGAAAATGAATAGGAAGGAGCCATGTTAGGGATCCGATTCGATAGAGAATCGAGCACGAGTCCTGTTGAAATAAAACTTAAGTCAAGACCGGACTCCTTTGTAAAACGGGTGCAGAGCTGGGAAGGGAGCTGAGGGGTTTGACCAATTCTCTTTCCTGGACAGGCAGAGCCTCCCCTGCAGTGGTGTGTTACTGTCTTCTCATCGCTGCACTGTTCAGCCCCTGGGATGTTTGTGTTTAATGGTCACTTTTTCCTCCTCGTCTTGGTGGGTCATAGTACAACTCTAGAGGCAGTCGGGCTGGGCATGGCCCGGTGACGAGTGTGGCTCTGCTGATACCTGGTGTCATAGTCAGGATTTTGGTGTCCTTTTGTGGACTGAAGGGCAAAGGAGTAGGCAGGGACTGAAGGTCCTCCAAGTCCTGTGTCACTGTGATCCTAAGGAAAGTCTTGTTTTGACCTTGTACGCACGCAGGAAATGAATGAGGACCACAGCACGCCGAAGAAAGAGAAGCAAGAAAGAATATCCAAACATAAAGAGAACCTGCAGCACACACAGGCTGAAGAGGAGGCCCATCTTCTCAGCCAGCAGAGACTCTACTATGACAAAAACTGCCGTTCCTTCAAGAGAAAAACGATGATCAAGAAGCACGAGATGGAGCAGCAGAACATTCGGGAGGTATGGCACTCTTCATTTCCTTTCCCAAGCATGTCTTTAATTGTTTTAGCTTCGTGTCCGTAAAAGAGTTAGACTGACTGACATTAGATCTTTGTTTCCAGTTGCTAAACAGAACTCAGAAAAATGCAGGAAATGTGTTTTGGGAAGTAATTTTCCACACAGATCTGGCTGCTTTTATTAACTGAGGAGGGGTGGCAACGTTGACGTGCAGACAGAAACATTATGTGGGCTGCCCGTTTGGGGTCTGGTGCTTCATCTGAGCTCCTGGGCATTACGTTTTGGGGGATCCTGTTGGGCTTTTTTTGCAACACAGAGCAGTTTGTGCCACGTTGAGCGCCAGGGCCACCTGTGGGATGGATGAAAGGGCATCCTGTGAGGAGTTCTACACACTGTTGAAATACATGTGTAATTACCCTTCAAAGAACAATATTAAGGTTGCAGAGTGAATTGCTACAAATGTAAGCAATACCAAAAATTCAGTCCTCTCTTGTGTCTGCAGTCTGGTTGTCTACAAATAATCAGACGTTGCTTTTCCATTGGGCTCTGTTCAAATTAGCGCACAGAATGGGCGTTACTTCATTAATGAGAAATTATTCAACATCTTGCTTTTCCTCATTAGTTATTATCCCTTGCCTTACAGGCTGCCTGTAGTCAAATACCACTTTGGAGAAAGAACTATTACTTGTAGATTTTTCTGTCGTTGTGACTATAGTATCTGAATTCTTCATTAATTTTATTTTTGGATAAAGACTATGAGATGCGAAGGTATTTTAGTAAAGAGGCTGAGAGTGAGTGAGTGGTCAAAAACTTCAAATAATCACATACTTAGTCTGCTACCATCCGATTTTCCGGCATACTTAACACTGCCCTGTACTTCACCCGTTTGGAGCTTTGCTGCCCTTGACTCCAGCTGTGCCTGGGGCTGCTCAGCCGCTTTGCAGGTCACATCCAGACACCTCAACTTGGACCCCTGAAATGATTGAAAAATCAGATTTGGACACCCTTACCACAGCATATAAGCTCTGTGGCAGGGATGAGAACAGAATTCAGTTACCTAGCGTGGTATTTTAACCAGGAAGCACTCCTCTCAGCTCCTGTGTTTAAGCTCTTGAGAGACCTAATTTTCAGAATGATCCAAGTGTTTATGTCCTGAAAGTAACATCCCTGCTAACCAGTTCAAAATCACTGGGTCAGACACCTGAAGTAAATAACACTTTCAAGAAGGGCGGGGGGTGGGGTGCGTGTCTTGGTATTTTAAGTAACTACCAAGGTTCTTTATGTGCAAGTGGGAAGGTGTTTGAGGGAAGTGGATTGCCTCTGTTTGCACCGTGCGAACTGAAATCGGGTGCGGAACGGGCAGGAGAGCGGCTGGCTGTCCTGTCCGGAGATGAAGGCACAAAAGCCACAGCTGACTGCGTGGGCTGCCGCGCTGCCTGTTCAGTGTGCTACCCACCTTTGCACAAGTGGGAGATGACTTCTGCACACCAGTCGATCTCATTTTTCATCTTGGCTCTCAAGGTGCAAGTTTTGCTTAACTGTAAACGTGTGCAGCATCCTCACGGCCAAGAGTGCAGAGACAAGGCATGGCCCTGTTTCCTTCCCCATCCTCCTACCTTAAACCTGTCGCAGTTGCACCAGCCAAAGGGGCTGAAGTGCCTGTTCGCAGGTGCTGATGTTGAGAATTACAACAGGATTACAAGGCGCAAGCAACAACTCAGAATAATTAGATTTGGTTTTGCTTCTGCTGCAGAAACTCGTTAGACTGAGCCAAAGCTGGGCCCTCCCTGTGCGGGGCACTGTGCGCAGCGCGAGGCAGCCCCCGCTGTGCCTGTCTTGGTCTAGCGTGAAGCACGGCGATGAGTTTGTAAACCCGCGAGCTGAAACGGAGACGTACCAGCAGCCCATCTGTGAAGGTCACCAAATATCAGCAAGGGGTACAGCTGTAATCACTGCTTGACTGAGCCGGATTTAGCTCCGTGCTCCACAGGTTGTTGCTGATATCTTGAGACAAAAATATTAGCAGTAATCAGGCAGAGAATCCGCTATCTGCCTCTTCCCTGGCTTGTAACTCAGTGAAGGTTTTCCTAGCCCACAGGCCACTGCATGCAGGAACTCTGATGTGCACGTTGCAAAATTGTGTGGGGTTTGGGCTGTATCCTCATTTTAAACAGCATGCTGCATCTGGGGCCAAAACCCACCTGTACACAGTGGCAGATTAAGTTCTTTTTCTTACCTGATGTGGTGTGTTGGAGCTCTTCAGCTCCACTTTGGCCAGTCTAGTATTAGAGATAGGTGAGAAGCCTCACCTCCCCGGGTCTAGCAGGGGCTCAGGGTCATTTAAAACAGATAAATAAGAGCCCCCGATTCTGTCAGTCACCCCAGCCCAGACCCCCAGGTCTGAGCACCCCAGGATGTTTATTAAAAGCTTGAGCGATTCTCAGCGGTCGCAGAGGGGATCGCGTGTGGTCCCAGTGCCACCTGCTGGAGACTCCCTGGGTGATCCAGGAGCTGCCAGAGGAGCTGGTTACAGCAGGATGGATGGATGCTGGGCGGCTGCTTTGTTAGCGTTCCTGTCATGCTGCTGGGTTTGTGTCTCCCTGCGGCACGTGGAAGTCCTTGATGCTGTCTGGAGGAGTGACTAGCACCCCCGGCCTCGCAAACTCCCTGCAGCGTCTCGGGGTCTGCTGAGAATCACTCCTCAGCTCTTGTCTTGTGCTCTGCTGTTTTCTTGTGCAGGAGTTAAACAAGAAGCGGACCCAGAAGGAAATGGAGCATGCCATGCTGATCCGGCACGACGAGTCGACGCGTGAGCTGGAGTACAGGCAGCTGCACACGCTGCAGAAGCTGCGAATGGACCTGATCCGGCTGCAGCACCAGACTGAGCTCGAGAATCAGCTGGAATACAACAAGCGGCGAGAGCGGGAGCTGCACAGGAAGCATTTCATGGAGCTCCGGCAGCAACCAAAGAACCTGAAGGTGCTGGAAGCTTTCCTTCCTCCTCTTCCAGCCTCTGTCCTGCCGGGCAGGCTGGTCTGTGTGCCTGCTGCCTCTTCCGTGCAGCGTCCATGCTGCAGAGCCATGATTCTCCACCAGCACTGTGTGTGCTCCTTTGGATCCCTCTCCTTTGCGCTGGGCTGCTCTGGTATAAGAAAGTTGTGGGCTATTAGAGTAAAGAGCTCACTGAGGATTTTTTTAAGTGCCATGCGAATTGAGGCTGCTGGGTAAAAACAGGGTAGTCCTTAATGAAGAATTACGGAATTTGCCTCTGATAAGCTGTGCTTCCTTTGGGCCCTTGCTGGTGTCAGCCTATAAACCTTGATACGGAAAGGGGTTGGGTGATGCTTCCTCGCTTTCAAAGTCAACAGAGAGAGAGAACATGGGTGTGCTGAGCTCTCTGCTCTGTCCCAGTTCAGCTGCTGGTTGATTAGAAACCTCTGAGCTGCTTGCTGCGGGAGATTTCTGTTCCCCCTCTGAACGTCCAAATAGGCACATTGCTTTTGTGCGCTTTGTCGCGCCCTCGCTAGTTCTCAGATCTGCAGTCTCCATGTAGCCCATGGTCAAGGTGGAGGACGCAGCTCCTGGAGGCCGTGGAGAGGCAGCAAAATGGGAGGCCTTGAAAAAGCAAGCGGTTTTGGGAGGCAGGCGGCAGGGCGAGGGGCTGGGTGACCTGCAGGAAGCAGGGGTATGGGGTGGAAATGCCCTGGGTTGAGGAGGGCTTAGTGGATCCCGTTCCTGTCCCGGACCTGTGGTCAGTGCTGAAGCAGGGCCCAAGCTGATGCTGCTCGTTAGATGGCTGTGTGTGCAGAGCACAGCCTGCCCACTGGGCAGCAGGGGCAGGAGACAGCGCAGGACACAGGGAAACTGGGGTTGTCTCTCACCAACCCGCCCATTTGGGGGTTGTCTCTCACCAACCCGCCCATTTGGATGTGCTATAACCTCTCCATTCCCAAAGCTCTTCGCACTCTTCACATCGTTCCTTCCTTGGCAGGCTATGGAAATGCAGATCAAAAAGCAGTTCCAGGACACATGCAAAGTGCAAACTAAGCAGTACAAAGCACTGAAGAATCACCAGCTGGAAGTAACTCCAAAGAGTGAGCACAAGACAATTTTGAAGAGTCTGAAGGATGAGCAGACGAGGAAGCTCGCCATCCTGGCAGAGCAGTATGAGCAGAGCATCAACGAGATGATGGCCTCACAAGCGGTAGGTGCAGCGTCTGGCACCTCCTGTCCCTGGGTGGGGGGTTCCCTCGCCGAGGAGCGTGGCAGTGGGGCACAGTCAGGCCATCGCTCCTCGCAGCACACTGGGTTCTTCCTATCCTACCCGATGGATGGTGAGCCATGCAGTTATGTTTCATAGAATCATGGAATGGTTTGGGTTGGAAGGGACCTTAAAGATCATCCAGTCCCACCCCCCCGCCCCTGCCCTGGGCAGGGCCACCTCCCCCCAGCCCAGGTTGCTCCGAGCCCCGTCCAACCTGGCCTTGAACACCTCCAGGGATGGGGCAGCCACAGATGCCCTTATAAAAAGCCCCTCTGGCCCTCTCCGTGTGTTGTGTAGGACCCCTTGAGGTACTGGAAGGCTGCTATAAAGTCTCCCCGGAGCCTTCTCTTCTCCAGGCTGAACAACCCCAACTCTCTCAGCTTTTTCTCATAGGAGAGGTGCTCCAGCCCTCTCGTCATCTTCGTGGCCTCCTCTGGACCCACTCAAAGTTTATAACAACTTATTTCAGTAATGTATGGGATGGTGCTTTCCCTCGTCTAACAAGCATCCCGCAGCACACGCATCCTCTCCCCGTTGCCCCTCGCATCCCGGGCTTTTAGAATTGGATCTTTGCTGAGGCTCCTGCCTCCGTGTGAGCGGGGAAGCAGCTGTTTATGAAGCCCTCCCTGCTTTCCCCTTCTGCCACCCACA